CTTCTCAGAGCAGCACTTGGCAAGCACTGAGGCAGGAAACGCAGAAGGGAATGAGTCTGTCAGACTCATTTTCTTCTAGTTCAAATGTTTATTTCAGATTCGGGAGGAAGTGGAGTGGTTCCTTTCCATTTCCTCGTCTCTGGAACCTGTGAGTTGTGTAAGGCTCAGAGACGCTCACCGCCGCATATTCTCCTCACAGGTTCACAGATGGAGAAAGAGTCTTCAGAATTTAAACACAGCAAGATTCACATCTCTCTGCGCCCTCCCAGGGCCCGCTCCTCTGGGTTATACTGGAGCCAAGCAGAGGACAACTAGGAGCAATGCAGAGTGGCAGGCTCAGGAACATCCTCTTCTGAGTCCCCAGGGCCCATGTCCTGACTGAGTTTTCCTTTCCACGTGGCACACCTGAGGTCACTCACGGCAGAGCCAGCCAGCTCTCTCATAACTGGTGAATAGCACAGTGGGATCTGGGACCGGGCCCACTTCCTAGGTACCTGCCTGAGACTTTCTGTACCTGGCAACAGGATGGAATTTCAGCAGCAAAACTTAAATATACCTGTTTTAGTGATGAGCTACAGAGACCTTAAGCTGGCTGACTTTTCCCATCGATACTCTGTTCTCTCTCTTTTTTTTTTTTTCATGCCAAGCTGTTTTTCTCTCGCTGTGCTCGCCAGCTTGGCTCTGCAACTTATTTTATTGTCTCTTACAAGTGGCATAGGTCATTTTTAATGCCAAATGGAGATCATCAGGAACTAAACGAGAAAATCCTGTGGTGAGTTTATTACTAAACTCTAACAGATGTGCCTGACTCTAACTGTAGGCATAGAGTTGAAACATAATTTTAGGTACAAATTACTTAATAAGGATATTTATCCACAAAAACTTCTTCAGTAAAGAAGACCCTGAGTCATTTAACACAGGTTAACCTGTTTGGCAGTTAATGAAGAAGTCAAACACTGTAAATACGTTCATTATGAAAGTTTCCAGGGCAGAGTGCTTGATCTAATCACCTTGGTTTTGTCAGGTTTAAAAGTAAAAGATAAAAATCTGACTCATTATCTTTGTTCATACTTTAGTTTTTCAGTTGTATTAGTGTTCTGTACTGACTAATCACGTTCATTAAGATCTATGTGCAGAAATACCGGCACATAAGAGCAATTATATTTACTTTCACACATACATTTGTGTTTACATATTCAATACTACAAACCAGCTTACATCTACTGTGTTCTGGATGAATTTCTGAAATGAATTAATCCCTTCCATAAATTCTAATTTCTTCCTAGTATCCATTTATAATGATTCACATGAGCCAACAGTATATTGAAAACATTTTACACTAGACACAATTGAAACACTAACTTTCAAAAGCAAAAGTAACCAAATTATAAATTGCATTGCTATCTGACTTCTTAAAATCATCTTTGTTGGTTACTAATTAAACAAGACAGACTATTCTAAGTGCATTAATGAGTTTTTTAAATCAAGAAACAGCAGGCTGAAGGAAGGGCAAAAAAAAGATAAACATTATAAAGGTCACAATGGGACAAAACATTCCTACTAGGAGATATTTTCACTGGAGTACACTAAAAGCAAGCTATGCCAAGTCATGTACTTTTCACACACAAAATTATATTGTATCAAATTTAAATTTGTTACAACTGCCATGTACATTAAACCAGCGATAAGGAAAATGTAACTCAATATCTGATCTAGTGAAACAGCAACCAACATTAGCTCCCAGCCACAAGAAGATACTCCATGCCATTACTGGTGTCAGCTGAACCTCAGCCAGTTTGTCTTCTCCAGCCCTTTTTAAATAAATATGTAACTATCTCAATTAGGAAGTCTCTATGATGAGGCAATCTTTGCTGCTCATTCTCAGTGCCCTGCATTTGCTGCACTTAAAATAGACACTTGTACCCATGTCCTTTCTATTACCCGAAGGGGGGCAAAAAAATCACATACACACCAGTCCTTTTTCTTTGGACTTGCAGAGAAGCAACTTGAGCCTACCAGTGTTGAAACCCGAGTAGGTCACTGTATACCACGATAAAATTCCCTAATCCCTGAGCCAAATCTCCCTAAGGGGGATCTCCTCCTGATCCTCCACTTCCCAGCCTGACTTTTCCATTCGCTCTCTTCTCTTTCCCCCTTTCATTTCCCCTACCTTCAAGCCTTGATATGTGATCCGTGGTGGGGGCTCAGGTTTCCGTTTTTACAGCTTAGGCCTTGCTAGCTGTATACATTCCTTTCTTTCTGCCGGGCAGTGATTACTTACCAGGGCTTAGTTTACACTGGTCCAGATGAAAGCCGTTCAGATGAAGGCAAACACAGCCAGGCAGCTCCAGCGGCACCGATAGGAAGCTGCACAAGGCCACATTGTGCTCCCGGTGACATTTTGTTGCACATATTTTTATACCGGGCGGCCAGCTTGTTGTGTACACTACATTTTAGGTTTGGGGAGACAGCAGGGAAATAATGCCAGGCGGTTTCGGGGAGGGTTTTTATTCATGTGGCTATTAATAAAGAAGAAAAAGAAAAAACTAATAACTTCCAAAGAATGCTTCCACTCTTTTGACTTTTGAGAAATCACTTTCTAAATAGGAAGCTTTGGTTACTATTTATTAGGGTGACACCTACCAACTGTCTCCCCATAGAAAGGTAATTTTATGACTTCCACTGGCTAGGGGTGGGGATTCTGACTTGACTGAAGACTTAAGCCAGAGGTGTCCTATACATTGTTCCAAACAGTGAGAAAATACTGACCCTAGAAGCAATGCGATTATTTTCGACACAAAACTTCTCAATTAATGCTACTCTGGAGTGAAACGAAGAGGATTAAAACTTCAAATAATAGGTGGTTCTTTGGGGGGAAAATAACATTTTCAAAAAAGGAAATTCTGTGCACCAAGGCTAACGCCATACTTCGTCCTGTAGCACTGGCTGAAAGTTGTGTAATTTTTCCCCTTCACACAACGTTGTTTTTGTTTCTTCCTCACCAGTTCAGACAAACATCTGTTATACTGCAGAAGGACAACTATCTCCCCAAACCACGGAGTGTACCCGCAGCCAAAGTCAACAACTCAAGCCCCAAGCATGAGCACAGTCAGCCTTTATATCCAGCAGGGATAACATTTCACATGTTTTGATTAAAATTAGCTAATTTGTAATTCTAGAACCTATGAAACTTAAAAGCTGCCATCCGTATAGATCACATTAAGCAATGTTTTAAAGGGCCAGTGCATACTCAATTTCCTAGGCCTTCACTTCTCTCCTGTTCCTCCATCCCCCAATTTATAGGTGGGGGGGGGGGGGGAAGAAAGTAATCTGGACAAGAAAGACAAGAGAGAAGAGTAAATGAGGAAGAATGACCATTATGGGCCGTGCGATTTCCACCGCCCCCCCCCCCCAACGTGGGAAGACAGTTCCTACTCTGAGCCCCCGCTTTTTAAACTGCCTGTCCTTGGGATCAATAGGTTTCCATCACAAGACAAGCACTGATTTCCCAGACAAATCTGCTTTAACAATCCTGCATTGACGCTGCTCCTCGTGCTTCCAGGCACTAAAATCCTCGTCCAGAGAATTAAAACCCCAATGACCCTAACTCCAAATTTGAAATCGATCGCTAGGGCCGTTTCCTGGAAAGGTAAGCACACGCACCTAAGCACGCCTATGGGAATAAAGAGTCCCACTTCTTTCTAAACGCCGCTTCGGACTAGCCGCTCTAGACATATGCTTGAATTCACCAAGAAAACGCAAAACGCAATCAAACGTAACTCAGTGTCCTGCCATTTTCATCACGTTTGTTTTCGAGATACAAACTTGACTCAGGACCGTTTTTTTGGACGACGTTAAGGATTCGATGCAGAAAACCGGGAACACCCAGACAGCTGCAAAATCAAAAACTAAAGTACAATCCCCTCTCCTCCCCACCTCAAATCCGCTATTTGATTGTAACTCGCGCAAATATAGGTTTCAAGGCTGGAGGTGAAGGGGGTTGTGTTTATACATCGAGAGATTCGGAAGATGCGCGCCAAATAATGCTCGAGGGGCCAAAAAGCTCCAACTTCACGGAAAATAAAGAGAGGGGGGAGGGGAGGCGACGGGGGTCCGGGAGCTGAATGCTGCTCCGCAGCCTTAGCTCCGAAGCGAACAGCTGGCGCGCCGGAGTGCTGCGCTCGCCACCTCTGGGGCACCGCTGGCCTGGCTGGGCGCCCGGCCTCGCCGAGAGGGTTCGGGCCGGCCTTTGCGAACAATAGGCAAGCGCTGTGCGCAGGCCGCCCCGCACACGGCGATCTGGGAGCGGGGCTCGGCTTGCCCCGGCTAGGCGGGCGGCGGAGAGCGGGAGGCGCCGGTGGCCGAAGGGCTCAGAGGGGGCAGGGGCGCAGGGCGCGCAGCGGCGGGTGGAGCGGTACCCGGCCCCGCGTCGCTCGGGCCCCCGCTCGCCCCAGCGCTGACAGCTCCCCGGCGCGGTCGCAGCCGATTCTTTGGGGGGAAGCGGGATCCAGGAGCCGCGGGATGAACTGAGGAGCGGGTGGAAGGGAGCTTTCACGGGTACCTCGGCCCGGAGCCCTCCTAACTTTGGAGGGATCGGAGAGATGGTTTCCTGGGAAGGGGAACAAAACTAGCGTGCCGCCTAAGGAACAGCCCAGCCTCGCTGCCACTTGGGACCCCCAAAACCCCTGACCCGGAGCCGCGCCTGGGTGCCAAACTGGGGTTTATAAGATTAAAACACTAAGTGCCCCCTTCCCCCCCCCCCCATACACTCACACCCGGCCCCGTATACTCCATCAAATCTGAGCTGGACAAATCTCGGGGATGCAGCCTACGACTTGGCCTCTGTTTGGCACCTGGAGGAGGAGCCGAGACGTCCTGGCATCCTCCAGAAACTGACAAGCGCTCCCCGGTACCCCCCTACACCAGTGCCACGGCCCGACGGGAGCGGGCGGGAGCAAAGAGCTCCCGGCGGGTCGGGTACCCCCCAACTCCCCCGATACCTTCATTTCCTCGTTGATCTCCCGCTTGACGGGGTGAGCCGGCTTCCTGCTCCGTTTATTTTCCGGAGGTCGCCCCTCTTTCTCCATTTCTGCCATGTTTTTGTGTCTGGTTTTCTGCGGAGATGAAATGGCTGCTGCTGCCGCCGCTGGCGGTGGTGGCGGCGGCGGCGGCGGCGGCGGCGGTGGCGGCGGTGGCGGCGGCGGAGGTGGTGCTGATGGTGGCACTGCTGGCGGAGGTAGCGGTGCTGGCGGGGCTGGGGCTGGGGCGGGGAGGGGGAGGGCAGGCGGGCGCCGGGGACGCGGGGTCTCTCCTAGCGGCCGAGCACGTCAGTCGTGGCTGCTGTCACCGGGAAAGGTAGCTCGCGGAGTGTCGGGGATGCCGCCGCCGCTCCTGCTCCCGCCGCCGCCGCCGCCGCCACCAACGCCGCCGCTGCTGCCGCCGCTGCCCCTGCCGCCGCCGCCGCCGCCGCCGCCGCTGCTGCTGCTGCTGGTGCTGGTGCCGCTGCTGCTGCTGCTGCTGCTGCTGCCGTTGCTGCCGCTCCCGCCGCCGTCGCCGTCGCCGCCGCCGCCGCCCGGCTGCATCCTCGGGGCCCCGTGCGGTCGTCAGCCATCTTCCGGCGCTCCGTCCGTCCGCATGGGCGAGGGCCGCGCGGGCCGCGCGCCGAGAGAGCGGCTCCGGCCGTGCGTGCGCCGAGCCGAGTGTGCGCCCGGGAGAGCGCGCCAGCCGCGGCGCCCTGCGCCTCCCGCGAGCCGAGCCGGGGGCGGGCCGGGGGCCGGCGCGGGGAGGAGGGGCGGGCGCGAGCGGCGGCCGCGAGGGGGCGGGCGGCCCGAGCTGCGGGCTGGTGGGGGGAGAGATAGGTGGAGGGGTGGATGGAGCGGGGGGTGCGAGGACAGCCCCCCGGCTCCCGGGCGGGCGTGGCTTCCACCGTCACTGTAGACGCGGATGCTGCGCGGCTCCCGCGGCGGGGGGGGTTGCTCGCGGCCGCCCGCTCCTCCGCGGCGGCCACCGGCCGGACCTGGCGCTGTCCGCCGCGCTGCCTCCACCCCAGACCCTGATGCACACGCCCGGTGCCCGCCCTGACTCCCCGCGGTTCTCTCTACTTCCCGGCTGTGCGCTGGCTGGGGGTCTAGAGTGGTTTTTTTTTTTTTTTCAAGTCCGTCCTAAGAGCTGCAGAGAAAGAAAGGAAGAAAGAACGGGGGCGGGGGGGGGGGGAGAGAATGAATGGGGGTGAGGGAAAGAGGTGGGGCGCTAGGAGGGTGTGGGGACCGGAGGGCGCGTTTGCAAAGGGCCGCTCCCCGGGCCCCCGGAATGGCAGGCAGAGCTGGCCGTCCCCTAACTGCAGTGCCCGGGGTCGTGGTGGTGGTGGTGGTGGGGTGTCGGGGACAGGAAACAGCACTCGGGACCTGCCCCCAGCTGCTAGGAGGGCATCCTCCTCCGGGGGTCACCATAGGGCGATCGAGGCTGGAGGACCCCTTTGGAGAGGTCCTCCACCCTTACCAGTCGCTCTCCAATGGGGCGCGAGCTGCCACCGCGCTTGTAAGAAAGAAAGCTGTGCTGCTTAATGAAATGAACCACTTAGAAGTAGGGCATCTCGGCCTTCAACCCCGTCGTAGGTCTCTCTCTCTCTCTCTCTCTCTCTCTCTCTCTCTCTCTCTCTCTCTCTCTCTCTCTCTCTCTCTCCTTTCTGTCACATACACACACTCATGTTACAAAGTAACAGCTTTATCTGGTGACACCTTGGTCCCGAGTCCCTGAGTCTCAGCCAGAACGATTAAGCAGAGTGGGGAGCGCTGGGTGCCCCGCCCCATGGGGTTGCTCTCTCCCAGGCCCAGACGCCCTCGCCACGCCCGGCCGGACCGTCTAGGTCTTGTCCAGCTGCGCTCTTTGCCCACGACTTCACCGCAAGGGTCCGGCCGCCTTCGCAGAGCTGTGTCCACCCCACTCTGTGCTCAGGCTGCCTGTTCTTGGGCGCTCGGGGGGTCCCAGGCTCGATCCGTGCTCCCAGGGCGCTTGGCTCTGTCTGGGTGGAGTCGTCGGGGTGTAAGTTGCGGTGAGACTTTGGCCAAGACCCGCTGCCCTGGACGCCTGTCCTCGCCGCGGGGGACCCAGTGGCATGCCGGGACACGCTTTCCCGCGCCGCCACACTTCGTAACTACCCGACACAATGACACAATGCGATGGAGGGAAGGTGTCCGTCGTTCCCCTGCTCGTTAGTGTGGCGTACGCACTATGATAATGGTGCAACTTCAAATACTCATGATTTTAAGTACTTTCAAGAGAGAATGAATGCGGTGTGGGGGAGGGAGTTCGCTTCTCACTAAAATCTCTAACTGACCTTTCAAAGGAGGCGATTCTGGGCATTGTATTGTCAGGTCTGCGTTTTAACCGTGGGTTTCTTTCTGAAACGTCCACAAGATCTCCCGAGGGGGCGGGGGGAATGGCCGTGCTGGCCAGTAGGGGGGCGGAGATGGAGTGAGCACCTTCGGGTTGCCTGGGGGTGGGGGTGGGGTGAGGTTTTTTTCTTGGGTTTTGTGTGGTTTTTTTTTTTTTCATTTTAGCAGTACTTTTGTTTCCATAAACTCCTCCTTGCAAATACTTGCGAGTGTATCCGAGAAAGCGAGGCATCTCCCGGTGTCTCTTATCTATCCCAACTGCAGAATGCCACGCGGAGCCAACTGCACCCTGCCCCGCGAAGCTCAATGTAACTCAGGTGAAGCTCAAGGCCAGGGAGAGCGGGGCTGAACTAGACTGCCCTCGCTCCAAGGAGTCGTCGCCAGTCCCGAAGGGGGAAACAAAAAAGTAAGAAAATCTTAGGGTAGTCGTCTGGGACGCGGGGAAAGTCAAAGCAAGGAGGTAGGTTTCTGGGAGCGTTCTGAGTCCCCTAATTCGAGATTTTTCTTGCAACCTTTGGGAGCCTACCCAGGTGCTCAGAGGTTGAGAGCTGCAATAACTAGGTGTGGGAGGAGTCCCGCAAGAGTCCCCAGTCTATCCTGGGGAACCCCTACTAGAGGATGCGAAAGGCGTCCAGCTTGCTTTGCTCTTGACTCCCGCCCCTGAAACAACCGTTCCCAGGCCAGGGCGTGGGCGTGGACGAGTTTGCGGGGGAAGCTTGGCTGGACCGTGCTGCAGCCGCGAGGGAGTGAGGAAGAGGGCGTCTTTCTGGCTTTTTTTCACTCTGAATTTCATCCAAAATATCTGATAAATAATGTGTGGGCTACAGTTAGTTTTCTGTGTTTTGTCCTCTTGGTCCTAAATGAGTAGTGAGAAAAACTTTTTTTTTGACGTTTGCATATTCGAACGCAGTGGAAACATATGTTGTATAGTATCCACAAAGAGAAGCTTTTGTCTTCTGGAAACATTTTTAAGTCCCCTCCGGTTCCTTCGGTGCCAGAAACATTACAATTGATTCTCTGTTGTTCAGCTGATATCAAATAACAAAGTTATATACCCCAAGTTCTAAGATACAGTTTCACAAGTTAAGAATAAAATAAACAGAAAAGGGTGAACTAGAGCCCAGAGTTCTATTTAGCGGCAGCTATACTTCCTTTAAAGAAAATGGCTTGTGCTTCTCTGGTTCAGGCATTTAATAAAAATCATATTAACCAGCCACCTGTTCATTCATAGGAGTTTGTGCTGTGAAAATTGAAGTGAGAGCATTGCATTCAGTTATGCCATAAATATCTTCAATGACTGAATGAATGCTCATGAAGTTTAATGTGGAGAGACTTTGAGTCTAGATCTTCAGAACTAGTGATTGATGGGCCAGAGCAGTCGTACAGTAGGTAGGACCCTTGCCTTGCCCACAATTGACTTGGTTTCCATCCTTGGCATTCCATAGAGTCCACTGAGCACTGCCAGGAGTGGTTCCAGAGTGCAGAGACAGAAGTACCTTTGAGCACCACTAAGTGTGGCCCCACCTCAGAAAAGAAGAGAGAGGGAGAGAGAGGAAGGAAGGAAGGAAGGAAGGAAGGAAGGAAGGAAGGAAGGAAGGAAGGGAGGGAGGGAGGGAGGGAGGGAGGGAGGGAGGGAGGGAGGGAGGGAGGACTAGAGATTGTTACACAGTGTTCATGACAAGGTGTAGGTTTTTTTGCTGAACTATAGATGAAGATGGTTATAACAAGAGTTGCTTCCTTATGAATTTGGACACAATCTCATATATCTGTCAAGAAAGCCACACTGTTGCTTCTAGGGTTTTCCATTGGGCTTCCTATGGACCCCCAATATATAGGAATGCACAGAAACACACACACACACACACACACACACACACACACTATGTTCTACATATATACCCAAAGCTCTGGACAGTCTTCAACTTTTCCTTTACTATTCCAGCTAGTCACCAAAATGGTAATAGGACTGGTCACTCAGGTGACTTCTTTGACACTAAAAGCCTGCTCTAGGTATTCTGGCCCCATCCAACTAGGAAAAAAATTAAAATCAGTGTGGAGAGAGGAAGGATGGAAGGAGGAGGGCAGGGTGATCTGCCTTGTCCCCCCACCTCTAGATTTGTGACTTTATTGTTACTGTTTTGTTTTGGGGTCAACCTGGAAGTGCTCAGGGGTTACTCCTGGCTCTGTGCTCTGTGCTCAGGGTCTGGCTATGCTCAGGTGATGATACTGGATGCTGGTGATAGAACCTGAGTCAGGTGCATGCAAGGCAAATGCCCTATGTGCTGTACTATTGCTCCCACACCCTAGATCTTTATTATCTTAATAGAACTGAACCAGAAGCCCAGTTCTCATGTCTGGTAAAAAATTAATAAATATTTGCTAATGGGTTCATATGTTATCAAGACAAATTTGAAAACATATTGCCCCACCACATATAATTGTTTAAAATCAAGCTTATGAAGCCATCCCTGGACATTTACATCCTCTGGACTGAAGCTTTAAGCATGGTGGAACAAAGTCTAATCACGCCTATGTCTTATCTGAGTTTCTGAACTAGGATCCCATGAATATAGTCAGGTGTTTGTTGTATTTAAAAAACTAAGTTTGTTATGCCTTAATACATAGCCAGAATCTCTTAGATATAGAAAATATAAAAAAAGGAATAAAGTTATATATAGTTATAAACATATAGTTATACATTATAACTTAACCTGTAAATATAAAATTATCTTGATATTGAACAAGTTCTGCCATAAAAGCAAATATATATACTAAAATATGTGTAAAATATGCTGAACAAATAGAAGA